GTCTCAGTGGGAAACAGCTGATTTTTATATCATGCCAAGATAAAACCATTCCCATTACTAAATTTACTAACTGTAATATTGTTATATGTTTTGTACTACCTCACTGTTATCTCATTAATCACTTCAGTTACCTAACTTTTATATCAGTACACAATAATGTATATTAAAATGTACTGCTCCATAAATTGTCAATATAGAGTAAGAATTAAGATTAGCCTGCCTGAAATGCCTAGGCATGCTAGTGGCCTTTGTAATTAATATTTTATAATATGTAAACTACACACTGTAAGCTTTGCAAGGAAATAAACACTCATTTTCAATAAAGCACTAAACCAACAAGGGTCATGCAGCGCTGTATGAGAACACACAAGAACCCCTACACCCTCTGGTTTGTTGTATGGGACAGGTCTGATTCAGTTATTGGAATGCTATAAACCACAACCAATCATTCCTTTTATATCCATTTAGTCATGTGCAAATTAACTGTATTATAACTACTACTACCACTAGTATTACACCTCACTCTAAGCCTATATATACCCTCTGTGTCAATGTAGTGTTTGTAATGGCTTGACAAAGCTCTTGGAGAGCAAAATGTTGCCACAATAAAATGTCACAGTTGCACTTGTCCTTTTACTTTACATACAATCATTCCTGGTTATTTTTTGGTTATTATCCAAAAAATAGAGTAAATCTATTTTTGTGTGATTAAGAATTCAATACAGAAAGCATGTGTAATACAGAAGAGGCCTGGGGACCTGATTAATGAAAAGAGGAAATGGTGTTTTAGTGCCAGGAATATCTACATTGCTTATTTTGGACTATTGTTAAATTGGTATTTTTTTAATTTTGTGTAAAATTGCCTAAATTAATGAATTCTGTGCACTTATTGAGTGGTTGTGCTCAATCAATAGAATGGAAGACATACTAGCAAAATAGCTAAGAATTTTGTTGAATGGAGCAATGAAATTGACTTAAAATAGGACCCAATATCGGCAAAATTGCCAATTCGCTAATTGTGCCAAGACTGCTAATTTGGCACCTGTGTAATTCTGTAAGTTTTCCATCAAATTTTGTACTTTTATGTCATTATCGTCAGAAAATGATTCTCTACCATTTTAGAAGACTTTTTTTAAGTACACAGTGAGAGCAATATTTATTTTGTGGGTCTGGACAGTGAAAGGGTTAAATGCAATGACTATGATATTCAGACTATTTGAGAGCATCTTGCAATAAAATGATGCTACATGTATAATATTTGAGATGATGTAATTTTTTTTTTTTTTTTAACAAGTTGGCAGTCTCCCACCGAGGCCGGGTGACCCAAAAAGAAAATCCCCAAAAAGAAAATACTTTCATCATCATTCAACTCTTTCACCTCACTCACACATAATCACTGTTTTTGCAGAGATGCTCAGAACACAACAGCATAGAAGCATATACGTATAAAGGTACACAATACATCCCTCCAAACTGTCAATATCCTGAACCCCTCCTTTAGAGTGCAGGTATTGTACTTCCCATTTCCAGAACTCGAGTCCGGCTATATAAAACTCACCGGTTTCCCTGAATCCCTTCACACTCCAACAGATCGTCAGGTCCCAAATACCATTCGTCTCCATTCACTCCTATCGAGCACGCTCATGCACACCTGCTGGAAGTCCAAGCCCCTCACCCACAAAACCTCCCTTACCCCTTCCTTCCAACCTTTTCGAGGACACCCCTACCTCGCCTTCCTTTCCCTACAGATTTAAATGCTCTCCATGTCATTCTACTTTGATTCATTCTCTCTAAATGACCAAACCACCTCAACAACCCCTCTTCAGCCCTCTGACTAATACTTTTATTAACTCCACACCTTCTCCTAATTTCAACACTCCGAATTTTCTGCATAATATTTACACCACACATTGCCCTTAGACAGGACATCTCCACTGCCTCCAACCGTCTCCTCGCTGCTGCATTCACAACCCAAGCTTCACAATCCATATAAGAGTGTTGGTACTACTATACTTTCATACATTCCCTTCTTTGCCTCCATAGATAATGTTTTTTGTCTCCACATATACCTCAATGCACCACTCACCTTTTTTCCCTTGTCAATTCTATGATTAACCTCATCCTTCATAAATCCATCTGCCGACACGTCAACTCCCAAGTATCTGAAAACATTCACTTCTTCCATACTCCTCCTCCCCAATTTGATATCCAATTTTTCTTTATCTAAATCATTTGATACCCTCATCACCTTACTCTTTTCTATGTTCACTTTCACTTTTACCTTTACACACATCCAAACTCATCCACTAACCTTTGCAATTTTTCTCAAGAATCTCCCATAAGGACAGTATCATCAGCAAAAAGCAACCGTGTCAATTCCCATTTTGTATTTGATACCCCATAATTTAATCCCACCCCTCTCCCAAACACCCTAGCATTTACTTCTTTTACAACCCCATCTATAAATATATTAAACAACCATAGTGACATTACACATCCCTGTCTAAGACCCACTTTTACCGGGAAGTAGTCTCCCTCTCTTCTACACACCCTAACCTGAGCCTCACTATCCCCATAAAAACTCTTTACAGCATTTAGTAACTTACCACCTATTCCATATACGTACTTGTAACATCTGCCACACTGCTCCCCTATCCACTCTTATCATATGCCTTTTCTAAATCCATAAATGCAATAAAAACTTCCCTACCTTTATCTAAATACTATTCACATATATGATTCAATGTAAACACTTGATCTACGCATCCCCTACCCACTCTAAAACCTCCTTGCTCATCCGCAATCCTACATTCTGTCTTACCACTAATTCTTTCAATTATAACCCTACCGTACACTTTTCCTGGTATACTCAGTAAACTTATTCCTCTATAATTTTTATAATCTCTTTTGTCCCCCTTCCCTTTATATAAAGGGACTATACATGCTCTCCACCAATCTCTAGGTACCTTCCCCTCTTTCATACATTTATATTAAAAAAAAATCCCAAACCCTCCAACACTATACCCCCCTGCTTTTAACTTTCTGTCATGATCAGTCTTCCAGCGTTTATCCTTTCATTCTAAAAATGCCTCACGCACCCCCCCCACACTCACATCCTTTTCTTTTTCACTAAAAAAGATGGTATACCTCCCTGTCCAGGATGAAATTACCCCTCCCTTTCTTCCAAATTTTAAAATTCCTAAAAAATATTCTCGCCATCCCCCCAAAACCTCCTCCTCCCATCACTAACTCCCCTTCGTTTTTAACTGCAAACCCATTTGTTCCCAGGTTTTCTTAATTTGTTTAACTCACCCCAAATTTTTTTTCTTTTTTTCTTAAAATTTCTTGACAGTGCCCTCCCCTTATCATTGCTTCCTGCATCTCCACCACTCTCTTCCCCTTTCTTTTACTCTCCAATACTTATTTCTTTTAACACTTCTGCTTTGTAAAAACCTCCTAAGTAACTTTTTCTTTTTTATCACCTTTTTACTTCATTCCATCAATACTCCCTTTCCTCCGCCCCCATCCTATAACCCCAAACTTTTCCCCACATTCTAATATGCATTTTTAAAAAAATTTCCACCCTCTTCAACCCCCCCCCCCCCCCCCCCCCGCTCATACTTGCACCCGTCCCCCTTTGCCAATAGTTTCTATACTCCCCGAACTTCCCCCCCCTTAGTTTATACACCTCCCCCCCTTTACTTTTGTTTATTTTTCTTTTTTCCCCCCTTCTCTTACTCTAACTGTATCTACACAAATTAAAATCTGTTTATTTTTGCCCCCCCTTTTAATGTGAATCCTGGACCTACCCCTCCCTTTTATCCAAATAATAAATTAACAAACTACTTTTATTTCTTTCTATATCTACCTTGTTTTTATCCTCTTTTCATAAAAAAATTGTTTACTTTTTTACTAAACCCCTTTTACACATGCTCAATAAAGGTCCCCATTTCATTTACCCCCGGCACCCCCAAATTTACCTCTCCCCCCCCTCCACAACTTTTTTTGCCCACTTTAGCATTGAAAATCCCCAACCACCATTCCCTCCACTTTGGTTTAAAAAACTCCCCACGCTTTGACTAACTTTTTTCCCAAATTTTTCCTCTCTCTCCTTTACCCCCTCTTTTTTTTCTCTAGTGCATAAACGCTACAAAAAACCCATTTTTCACACCCCCCCCTTTTATTTTGCTCCACATAATCCTTAAATTTAATTTCTTTTAAAAGCCCCTTTTTTTTTTTCCAAAACTTACCCCTTAAACATTACTGCTACCCCTTCTTTTTTTTAAAACTCTTTTTGAAAACCCCGGGCCCTAATCTCAATTACCCCTCCCCCACTGAAACTCCCCTCCCCCCCCTTCTTTTTGGGTTTCATTTAAAGCCAGGACACCCGCTTCTTTCAAAACATCCAAAATTTACTCTTTTTTAAATAAATTTCACAAATCCCGCATTTTCCCAGATTTCCCACTTTAAACAATTTTCTTTTTATTTTTTTTTATTTAATTTTTTCGGGAAAAAGGGGGTTACAACCCCATTGTTCCCGGATTTTAGTTGATTTTTACAACCCGCATGGTTACGGAGGAAAGATTCTTATTCCCCTTCCCCTGGAATTTAAAAGGGAAAAATAACAAGTCCAAGAACTATTAAGAAAAAAATCAAAAAAAACTCAGAGTGTGTGTTTAAAAAAACAGGACAGTATGAGTGTGAAACCCAAATGAAGTAAAGTAGCAAGACATACCTGAAATTTTTGCATGTTTATGAGACAGAAAAAAAAACACCCGCCCAATTCCCCCCATCATGTAAAACAAATTTTTGGTTTCTGTTTTACATCACTTTGGGAGGACGGTTGGGACCTCCTTGGCAGTTGGGGTCAAACCCAACCCACTGATTTTAAATGTTTTTTAAAAGTAAGAAAAAATACTTACAAAGGGAAAAACTAAAAACATCTTAATTAGGGAAAAAAAAATTAAAATTTCCAATTTACAAAATTTACAAACAGTTACATTATTCTGCCATCAACCAATCCCATATCTTCAAATGTCTCAATTTATCTCCTTGGGATAACGTTCCTTGAAGATGGGAAACCCGTACACATCCGGGGAAGGGGTGCCGAGAAAAAAGCAAATTTTATGAGCTATTCAGCCATAACATTTTTGCATTCACCCAAATTTTTTCCCAAATTTTAAAAAATAATTTTTTTAGCCAAATGAGAAAATAAACCCCTAAAAAAAAATGTTTGGGGAAAAGGGGGAAAAAAATTTAAAACATCATAAAAAATTTTCCCCCCAAAACCGATCACACAAAAAAAATAAAACCTCTTACCCCTTTAAACCCATTTAGAAATAAAAAAACTGAAATATGCCGGGTTTCCCCATCTTTTTAAAAATAGTATTTTATAGGTTGCCCCCCTTCTCAATTTCCCCTAAGTCTCCCCCAGGGGAGAAAAAAGGGCTAACAGAGAGAACAGAAGAGTCAATACTCTTCTACACTTGCTTACTTGGACTATAGATTTTAGGGGTTACAGAACATTGATGTCACGAAACTTATATTTAATAAACTTTTGAATATTCTTTAATGGATTTAAATCCCTTGAGTTTCCAGGCCAGTCATTAAAAGTACAGTAACTCTCTATCTTTGTCTCTGACAGTATGGCAAAGGGCACTGTCTTCCATACAAAAGTTGCTTTGGCATTCCTTGAAAGTGTCAGGCATACAGTCTGATAAAAGCTTACTTATGCACAATCATATCTGTGATGCCTACTGTAGGTAATAACGTATTAGAAGAAAATTTAAAAATGGATGGAAGATACAGTATTTCAAGAAAGTAACAACAAAAAGGAAGACAAAAAAAAAATCAAAACATGAGAAAATGAAGAAAATAAAGCTTACCATTTCATTAGTAGTATTCTCAGACACAGCATGAGTGTAGTTTGGATGGAGATAGCGTTGTTCCCAATCCCAGCGGTTATCAAACAATTGCCATAGTTCATTATTTAATCGCCGAGTCTCGAACTTGTCAGCATTTACAAGGTGGCCAAAGTCCACTCGATTACTCACATACATGAAGATACCCTGAATGACAGAAAAGGAAAAGGAATAATCCTGGGACTGTAATGGATATTTACAATATCCATTACAGTCCCATTCACCAAGATGCTGCATGACCCATACAGGTTTAACACTCCCCTTCTCCCATCCAAATCAATATACAGCCTCTCCTCCTTTAACGACGGAGTTCCGTTCCAAAGACCACGTCGGTAAACGAATTTGTCGCTAAGTGAGGAGCATACTATAATGGTAGTGGGTTTGTGTCAACCATCTTTGATATTGTTTTAATATCACCTTCGCACCATTTATAACATTTCTGGTATATTTTTAAATGTTTATACAGTAGTTTACTGTACAGCCTCTCCTCACTTGGCGACATACTCGTTTACCGATGCCTTGGACATATGACGGGCTCTTTGACCAGTATTCATACCTAAATAATGTATATTATAGCAATTCTCTTTTTTTTTTTATTCAATTATCTTTGATGTTCTGACACTTTTAGTGTAAGTCTGATCTGCTTATTTTGTGTATGTGTACTTATTTGTGCTTGCAGAGAATCTGAGTCTCAGCTCCTGGCCCTTTCCTCGTGATTAATATGACTGGACTTTACAAGTCTGTGGCTGAAGTACAACTGTCAGACACAGCAACATCTTGGGATCTTAATACAGAGAATTCTTTACTTGCCTAACCTTTTGTCATGACCTACTTCCCAGGTTAACCTACAACTGCTGCACCTCACCTGCCTACAGTATATAAGCCACTTCTTACATATGCTGTATTCTTTTCAAGATTGATGGACTGATTACATAAACTCAAGGTTGAGGGACTGATTACCTTAAACTCCTCCTGTTCTCTACCATTTTCTTTGTATGCATAATAATTTTTTTATTTTAGACTGACGAGAAGCCCACTGTGTGGCACTCGTTTCCTCATTAAAGATACCCAAGTGTGCACATGTGTCTAATTTCTAGCCAAGTAAACTATGGAAAATAATTTGTTTATATATTTTTGGGGATTTTCTTTCTTTTTTTGGGTCACCCTGCCTCAGTGGGAGATTTGTTGAAAAAAAAAAAATTGTATTGATCATGATCACAAATCAGCAATTGTAAGACATTAACCAGTTGCAAAGTACCCCAATCATTTATTTATTTATTTATTTATTTATTGAACATGATACATAGAAGTACAAGAAAATACAGTGGTTAAGTGTAACATGCCAAAGCCCCTTGTATGCAGAGCATTATGGGCAAGGCATATAAATTAACTTAAGATTATACTAGCAATGGATTATTTCAGTGGTAAACATGTTGTAAAAACGTTGGCTAACCAATTAGAACAAATGATATTTCAAACGACAGGACATATGGTCATTGACTGTGTGGCTGAGGCATTCAGTAGAATGGAAGTATTCTGTTAGATAATGTAATTAAAAATAACAAGTTTGACGGGTGCACAGGCTAAACATTTCTGAGACCACAATTATCAGTATTTATTGGTGTGGGTGGAGTAAGTGATTTTTAACCTTTCAGGGTCAAGGCCCAAATCTGGAGTCACGCACCTGTGTCAAGAAATTTTCAAAAAAAAAAATTTATTATTTTTTCTTATGAATCGTTGAGAATCTTTTTGTGAAGGTAATAAAACAAAAAGTACGAAATTGGTGGAAAATTGGACGTATATGCTCTCGCGAATTTGATGTGTCAGCGATATTTACGAATCGGCGATTTTGCCGACTTTGACTCCCATTTTAGGCCAATTACATTATTCCATCAACCAAATTTCTAGATATTTCACTAGTATTACTTCTATTTATCGATTGAGCCTCAAGAAATCGCCAAGTCAAACTTGTTTCAACTACAAAATAAAGCGATCGGAAATGTTAATTTGCAATTTTAACACAAAGTTCAAAATTTCCAATTTTCAAAATAGGGTCCAGAATAAACAATGTAGGCATTCCTGGCACTAAACTTAACATTTCCTCTGTTCTTAGTCATGTTTTTGAGGCTTTACAAATAAAGTCCATTTTGATTTTTTTATCACATAATGAATTTTTTTTCACACCAAAAAATAGAAGATTTACGTTATGAAATACTGTTAATAAATGTTTATATTTCCATCACCATATTTGTGAATGTATATTAGGACCCACAGCTGACGTGTATTAGACGTGTGAGGTCGTTTGTTTACTCTTGAATATCGGCAAAATTTAACATTTCCCGCTACTTTGAGCCCCAGTTTCAGCCCCATTTCCAGTGCTAAAACAATCAAAATCATCTCTATTTCTGTAATATGTCTTCCATTCTATAAAATGAGACCAAGAAATCGCAAATACAACTATAAAAAACATACGAAAAACACTGCAAAGTTGCTGTTTTAATCGAAAAATCATGATTTCATTTTTTTTCTCTCATTATACACAGTGTGCTGCAGGATCTGTTTTATGTGGTGCACACATACCACATAGATGTATTCTCTCATATCTAGGCCCAAATGTACCACTCACAGTTTATCAGAGTGAGCTGAGCTCATGGCGTAGATCTACGGTTTGGACACTCACCATAAAGCCGTAGATCTATGGGACGGACCCTGAAAGGGTTAAGAAGAGACTTAAATTTATAAACAGACAGTGTTTCTTTTATATTCACAGGTAGTGAATTCCAGATTTTTGGGCCTTTTATGTGCATTGAGTTTTTGCATAGTGTGAAATGGACACGAGGAATATCAAAGAGTGATCTGTGCCTTGTGTTATGGTCGCGTGTTCTGTTGAGGTTGGTAAAGAGACGTTTGAGGGGAGGATTTATATCCGAGTTAAGTGTTCTATGTATGTAGTAGGTACAATAATAAGTATGGATGTTTTGTATGGCGAGTAGGTTTAGAGTTTTAAATATTGGTGGAGTGTGCTGCCTGTAGTGGGAATTTGTTATCATTCTGACTGCAGCCTTTTATTGGGCAATTAATGGTCTGAGATGGTTTATTGTTGTTGAGCCCCATGCACAAATTCCATAGGGGGGATAGGGGTAATAAGTAAAGTGATATGGGCAGGAGGGCTGACTGTGGAACATAGTACCGTATCTTCGATAGTATGCCTACAGTCTTGGAAATTTGTTGTATATGTGTTTGAAATTTGAGTCTATTATCAAGGTGGATTCCTAAGAATTTTCCCTCTGTGAGCTTTGTGATAGGTGATCCGTTTATCATTATGTTAAGAGGGACATCTGTAGCTCTGTTACCAAACTGAATGAAGTAGGTTTTGTCAATGTTGAGAGTAAGTTTGTTAGTCCTCATCCAGGTAGATATTTTCTGTAATTCGGTATTCACAGTATTGGCTAGCATGACTGGGCTCGGGTGAGAGAAGACATATGTAGTGTCACCTGCAAATGGTGTGGGTTTGAGTAGTTACGATGCTTTTGGTAGGTAATTTATGTAAACAAGAAAGAGAAGAGGGCCAAGGACACTTCCCTGTGGGACACTAACTGTAATTGGCTGTGCAGAAGAGTTTGCTCCATTTGTGTACACATATTGGCTTCTGTTGCTGAGGTATGACTTTAGGTAGTTGAGGGAGTGCCCTCTTATACCATAGTGTGACAATTTTATATGGAGCAAGTCGTGGTCAACTGTATCAAAAGCTTTACGTAAATCAATGAAGATTCCCAGTGGGATTCCTTTTTTCTCTAGTGCAGTGTATATTTGTTCTAGCATGTGTATAATAGCATCAATCGTATTTTTATTAGGCCTGAACCCAAACTGACAGGGATTGAGTATGTTGTGGGAGATGAGATAGGAATAGATTTGCTTATGAATTAATTTTTCGAAGATTTTAAAGAGAGGGTGTAAGTTGGATATTGGCCTATAATTATTCAAGTCTGTTTGGTCTCCTCCTTTATGGATCGGGGTGACCCTCACTATTTTGAGAACTGTAGGGGAGGTAGAGGATTCGATGGATTTGTTAGTGTTGCAATGATTGGTGACAGCACTTGCGACACTTTTTTGTATATAAAGGGTGGTAAGGTATTTAAATCTCCTGTCTTTTTTTTTAGTGTGTTGATAATAAGGGAGACTTCTGTTAGGTTAGTCGGAGCTAGGAACAGTGTGTTCAGGTAGTTGCCAGTGAGGTAGTCATTGGGTGGGGTATTTGAGCTTGGGATTTTATTGGCAAGGTTTTTTCCTATTGGTGGAGAAGAAATCATTGAGTCTGTTTGCTGTTTCAGTTGGTGGGAGTTGGGGTTCATCTGGCTTTGTTAGTTCAATTGCGCTATTTCGTGATATCTTTTTTTTTCCTAGAATTTCTGTTTGGGGTTTTTCCCAGGTCTTTTTTATATCACCTTTTAAGCTGGATAATCTGTTCTCATAATACAATTTTTTGCCCTTCTTATCAGGCTGGTTAGGATTGATGAGTAATGTTTTGTTTGGTCTCTGGTTATGTGACCCATTCTGTACTGTTTTTCGTATAGGTGCTTTGTATTTATGGATTTGAGGATTCTGGGTGTTAGCCAGGCACTGTTCAGTCTCTTAGCTGTCATCTGTTTAGTTTTTTTTAGGGCAGTGCTTGTTATAGAGGTATTGGGTCTTTTTTAGAAAATTATTAATACTTTCGTCAATATCTGCACAGATTTCTAGCTCAGTGTGCCAGTCAATGTTTGTCAATGCTGTTGTGAAGTTATTAATGGCTGCCTCACTGTGAAGTCTGAAAGTGACTTTGGGTTAGTGTCTTGGGGTAATTTGCTAGATTAGTTATGAGGAAGGTTTAGGGTAGTGGTCTGGGGTATTACTGTGTTATGCCTGATTTTAAAGGGGATATGGTGTTGGTCCAGATGTGGTCTAGTAGGGAAACACTAGTCTCTGTAATTCTTGTAGGTTTTGTTACTGTTGGCAGCAACAAGCAGTTACTCATAGTGTTTGTGAATTCAGTAACGTGTGGGTCTTGGTCTTGCAGGAGATATATATTGAAGTCACCTGAGAGTAGCAAGTGATCTTTATTCATGCGTGCATCAGTTATCATACTTCCTAGGTCTTCGCTAAAACGGCTAATGTTTGACTGTGGTACTCTGTAGATGTTTATCACTGTGAGAGGTTTTTGTAGGTACATATTTGGATTTAAATTTAGCTATTATATATTCCCCATGTTCATCCCTTGTGCAAGTATTAGTGATACATTCTAGTTGGTCTGAGTAGTACACAGTTGTGCCACCCCATTGTTGATCTGGCCTACAGTTGTGTATGGCTGTGTAACCAGGAATGGCATAGACATCTGTAGTATCAGGCTTTAGCTAGGTTTTGGTGAGAGTAATGATGGACATACTGGCATGCAGGGAATTTAGTAATGCTATGAGGTCATCGTAATGTTTGCTTAAAGAGCCGATATTGTAGTTAAAGACAGTAATGTCGTTGTTGGCTCTGAGAAGTGCCTTTGATTGTTCTGCTGTGTAGTAATTACAGTTACTGTTTGATTCATTTAAGTCATTCAATAAGAGATTGGTATCAGGATCAATGCTTGTAATCATAAGATTTATAGTGAATCTACATGTATAGTTAGAATTAAGTATAAGACAATGTAAATATTCTAAAGCTAAAAAAAAGCACCTGAATTATTTTAACAAAAGTAAAAATATGAGCTAAGGTAGTTCTTTTAAAGCTAAAATAAAGGAGACAATATAAAAGGGACTAAAATCACTTGTGGTGAACAAATAAAGTGATGATCAAATAAAGGAGCTTGGGAATATAATAGTAGGCAGTTCTTTAAAGGTAGTTCTTTAAAGTTAAAATAAAGGAGACAATATAAAAGGGACTAATGTAAGTTGTGGTGAACAAATAAAGTGGTAATCAAATAAATGAGCTTGGGAATATAATGGCAAAATAGTGAACTTATTACACTTTAGCACCTGAGAATAGCACCTTGATTATTTTAACAATTGTGAATATATGAACTAACTACATGAATACCACCTGGTGGTTCACACTTATACTCACTCACTCATTTGACCATAAACAGAAATATTAATCTCAATCTTAAAATAATGAATCCTGTGATACTCCAATACTGAAACTATGTACTGTGCCAAAACAAAAGCATTCACATTGCTAAACTCACAAACTAGTATTTAGTCACTTAGCCATAATACCAACTTACCTCATAATTTGTAATATTTTACAATTAAGAAAAAAACTAAGTCTGCCCGAAATGCCTAGCCATGCTAAGCGTTCTAGTGGTACACTCTGTAATCACAATTTTACTACATGTAAACCACACAATAACCAAATTTCTGTAAACTCAGCATTGTAATCCTATTAGAGAATAAACTTTGAAAGGTAGTCATATAAAGCTAAAATAAAGGAGAAAATATATAAGGGACTAAATTAAGTAATGGTAAACAAAGTTCAATGGACAGATAGTCACTATGATATAATAAGTGCAAAACATCACAAGTCAGAGCCCTACTGCATAATTTTTGTGCTTGTGGTCAAAAGTAAACAGCACCTTGTACCTACACAAGGCCAAGGATGGCAAGAAATAAAAATAATGGTGAGGTTTATAGAAGAGGTATTATTAAGACCATAAGTCTACCAGCGAGCACACAGGCTTTACCTCCGTCGTCGTCACCGCTCTGCTGCCCTTAATTGATCTTCCCTCCTCGCTGACGGCCCCACAGACTCCTTTGACTTTTTGACAGCATTAGATTTATTGCATAAACTTTGATTATGCTTCCTTTAGCACTTCACACCGCCCCTTACTATCTCTTTTATACTCTCCACCCTCGCTAGTCTCTGATCAAGCATATTAAACCTTGAGCACACCCTACCCTGCAGCACTGTATGACTCTTGTGTGTTTAGCGCTTAGTTATGATTATAATAATAATTAAGACAATAAGAAGTGATAGCGTATATGAAAAGGAGACAAGAGGTTTTAGAAAAGGTAAACAAGTAATATTTTTGAGAGATGAGAATACACAAATAACCCGCACACGAGGGAAAGAAACTTATGACATTTCAGTCCGACTTGGACTAGTTAATGGTCCAAGTTGGACTGAAACGTTCAGGTTATCTGTGTATTGTTCCAGTCATGGTACTGTGCCTTTTTTGTTCTTTGAGAAATAATGTAAAAGTGAAATAATCATGAAGTGCATAATTATTGAGGCAGAAGACTTTAGACATTTGTGATATGCACAGTATGAACATGGAACAATAACAGTAAAAATTCAGTCTCATTTTGGTTATATTTGTTATCGTATTATCATACAACTAAGAAGATATCACTTAAAGAAGGGTTAGGTCTTCTAGACCAATGCACTAAATGCCCTCAGGATGTCTACATATTACAGGAGTTTCTACATACGTATTTAGTATCACAAAGAAGGCCACAGAATACCAAACCTTTTCCCGGAGGTTTTCACACAAGGCCATGTCAGGGTCAAGCAGGTTTTTAATGAAGGAGGGTCGCTTCTTGTCGTTGTCAAGAAGAGAACGCTGCATCAGGTAACAAGAGCTGATATATGGCACATTCCATAGGCCTCTGAGATAGAAAAATTTAAATATTATAATTATTACTATCATCACTATTAACTGTGATGAGCTTCTTGGAAGGGGCTTGCAGATATGTGATACTAAATATATACATGGAGGGGAAACATCTCAAAGTCCTAAATATGTACTTGCTGGAGAGGAATAGAGATCTACATAATAATATACACATGGAAAGTACTACAGGGAAACACACGGACTGCCCTCATCACATCCCTACATCCTAAACTCGTGATACTAGTACGTTTAAAATCCTTCTAAGTGATGATTTTTCTTATATGGTTGTCACCCTGCCTTGGTGGAAGATGGCCAGTCTGTTAATAAATAATTACTTATTGTAATACAGTGGCAGTACTGTACCTTCTTTGGCTTTGTACAATCTCCATGTAGTCCATAGAGCGAGCATAAAAGCCATCATTGGTAATGGCGCCCCAAAAGTTACTCCAAGCCTTGTAGGGTCGGATCATCATAGGTGCCACAATCTCCCTATGGAGAATGTAAAACCTACAAATATTGTTCTTCACAAAGCATAAAATTAATATATTTTATTATGCAGTAAGTGAAATATAGCATAGCCTCAAAAAATGCACCATATATAACATCTAATTCAAATACAGTAAATATTAAGTACAAAACACTGCTTTATGAAATAAATTAATATATCTGGAATTAAAATAAACAGATACATATAAAGACACAAACACCATAAAAAATACAAACACCAAACATACATAAACAAAAACAAAAACTTAAACAAAAAACATGCATGTGCACACACACCAGCAAAGAGGTGGGGCCAGGAGCTGTGACTACCCTTGCAACTGCAAGTAGGCGAGTACACCCACCCACCCCAATAAAGTGTGTATATCTCTTATTGTATATACACTGGAGTGTTTAATTTAATCCATATTTTAGGAATTAAAGTACATATTCTTACCTAGTGAAGTACAAAAGAATTCAGTCTTAGAGTTGAAACCTAACTCATCACACACCACTGTAACAAAAACTAAACAATCACAAGAACCACACATAGTTTTAAGATGAGGTATGATAAAGCTCATGGAGCAGGGAGAGAGAGGACCTAGTAGCGACCAGTGAAGAGGCAGGGCCAGGAGCCAAGTCTCAACCCCTGCAACCACAATTAGGCGAGTACATAGGTATGAGGACAAGCCCCTGCAGGGAAAAAGAGGCTGCTTGTTCTCATGTTGCTCAAGAAAATTTTATCCAAGGAATTGGAGCTTCCATTTTTACCTTCGATAAAACACGATTGCTCCCATTCCACTGCATGACACTTTAAGACGTCACAATTTAAGACGTCACAATTTAAGACGTCACAATTTAAGACGTCACAATTTAAGACGTCACAATTTAAGACGTCACAATTTAAGACGTCACAATTTAAGACGTCACAATTTAAGAACTCACAATTTAAGAACTCACAATTTAAGAACTCACAATTTAAGAACTCACAATTTAAGAACTCACAATTTAAGAACTCACAATTTAAGAACTCACAATTTAAGAACTCACAATTTAAGAACTCACAATTTAAGAACTCACAATTTAAGAACTCACAATTTAACCCTTAAACTGTCCAAACGTAGATCTACGTTTGTGCGCGTAGTGCTCTGACCTTAATTTTCTCCATAAGAAACAATGTAAAAAAAAAACGTAGATCTACGTTCAGAGCGCTACGCGTGCAAATGTAGATCTACGTTTGGACAGTTTAAGGGTTAAGAACTCACAATTTAAGAACTCACACTTAGTTACACAACCCTTGACAAACACTGAGAGGAGTCACGATTATATCATAAGACAGCAAGATGCATCAACAAAGATAGATACAGGCAGACTGAGACATGTGTATGTAAGGATGACACAGGTATGCTGGGAAACTAAATGCCAGAATGAAGCCAAAGCATTATATTTTTATGAAGCACTAAACCCATGGGGGACACTAAGCCCAAAGAGTGGTGGAAACTCTATGCTTGGTCTGCTAATTACAACAAACACTAGCAGCCTAAGGGAAAACTTCTTCAGTGGACACAACAGAGGTAGTAGTAGATGTAAACACCATGCCTGTATTACAACAAAATACTGCATAACCCAAGGAGTTAGGGATGCATTACAGCTGACAATAAGTGGTTGAGAAAGACCTGACCATAGAAGCTGGCACTCAACTCCTGTAAACACAGTTTAGTCAGCGTGCACACATGCGCGCACACACATGGATGCACATGCACACATATGCATGTACACACACACAATATCTATAAGCAGTTATCTTTATCAATAAAACACAAAATGAAAAGTGAGAGGGTTAAAATAAAAGCTACGTTTCCTTTATCCCTCCTTCCTCCCTTTCTTCCCAGCCTCCTTCCTTCTCTCACTCTCATTTTTTTGTTTACCTGTTTTGCTCAATAAGCAGCTTGAGAGTGAAAGGATTATCCAGTTGAGCTTCAGAGTCAATGACGAACAGATACTGGCACTCATGCTCCAGACAGTAGTCACTGAAAATTAAAGATAATGAGTGACCTTCATGGTAGTAAAGCATGTATTAAGTTTACCCCAGTAGAAAATCCCAGGATAAATTTTACAAAAAAAAAAAAAAAAAAAAAAAAAAAATCATAGGAACAAAATAATGCATAGAAAGAATGTGAGAGCCATAAGTCTTGATATTCTTGATCCAATAATATTCAACTACTAAATTAGAAGTTTTAAACAAATAACCCACACATAGGAGAAAGGAACTTATGATGATGTTTTGGTTCGACTTGGACCATTAACTAGTTACACACATCATCATAAATTTCTTTCTCCTACGTGCAGGTTGTATGTGTATTGTTCCAGTCATGGTATTGTGTTTCTTTGTTCTTCAGTTAGAAGTTTTGGTAGTAACATACAGTTTTTACTGATATTAATTTGCCCCAATAACTGTGGTGATAGGGAGCAAGGGGCTAGTAACCCCTTCTCCTGTATATATTACTAAATTTAAAAGGAGAAACTTTAGTTTTTCCTTTTGGGCCATCCCGCCTCAGTGGGATACGGCCAATTTGTTGAAAGAAGAACTGTGGTAATAATACTACAACCCCAAACAAAAAATGTGAAATAAGGCAAGCAACGTACATGGCGGCATTGCGAGCATGCCATTCTTTGATGTTTTCATCGTGCTTAATATACTTGACCGAGATAAACGTCTCTCCAACTGCCTTCACCCACCCACTCACCATCTCTTCATGGTACTCTACCTAAAAGAGACAATGATCTGTAAACAGCTGGATGCATGTGGGTCATTAATGCTGTACTTCACTGCTATACCAACAATCAACAATATTTTAGCCCTTGGCAAAGAAATTAAGTTAAATTCTCAGTGTACATGTGCCTAATGATATGTACTTTTCAGTGTATATACTTTGATCTTTAATTAGCTGGAGTATGGCAAATTATATGAACAAAAAATGAATAGCAGCAGTCTATAGGAATGAGTATATTCAACAAAGTAGCTCCTTAAATAAACAAATTTTTTTACCAAGATGATTTATATGTACAGTACAAGAAATTGTATAACTCAGGATACATAGTGTACATGGTAAGGCCATAGTTGTACAAAATATTTAAGGCAAACTTAGGATTAAACAAATCTAAAAATAATTGATAGAACACATTGGGTTATATTTTATTTCATGGATTTAAAAAAGGCATATGATAAGGTAGATAGGGGAGCAAGGTGGAAGATATTGCAAGTGTAAATGCTGAGGTGTTGGGGAGAGGGATGGGATTAAAATATGCAGAACCTAATACAAAATGGGAGTTGGCATGGTTACTTTTTGCTGATGATACTGTGCTTTTGGGATATTGTGAAGAGAAGTTGCAAAGGTTAGTGGACGAATTTAGGAGGGCGAGTAAAGGAAGTTGAAAGTGAACATAGATAAAAGCAAGGTGATGAGGGTATCAAATGAGTTAGGTAATGAAAAATTTGGTATCAGACTGGGGGAAGGGAGTATGGAGGAAGTGAATGTGTTCAGATATTTGGGAGTGGACACGTCGGTGGATGGGTATATGAAAGATGAGGTAAACCACAGAACTGATAAAGGAAAAAAGGTGGGTGGTGCATTGAGGTATCTCCAGAGGCAAAGAACATTGTCCATGGAAGCAAAAAAATGGGAATGTATGAGTGTATAGTGGTACTAACACTTTTATATGGGTGTGAAGCATGGGTTTTAAACATTGCAGCGAGGAGAAGGTTGGAGGCAGTCGAGATGTCATGTCTGAGGGCAATGTATAGTGTAAATATTATGCAGAGAATTCATAGTGTGGAAATTAGAAGGTGCAGAGTTACTAAAAGTATTACTCAGAGGATTGAGGAGAGGTCGTTGAAGTGGTTTGGTCATTTGGAGAGGATGGAGCAAAATAGGATGACTTGGAGGGTGTATAAATCTGTAGTGGAGGGAAGGCAGGGTAGGGGGTCACCCTAGGAAAGGATGGAGACAGGGGGTAAAGGAGGTTATGCGTGCAAGGGGCTTGGACATGCAGAAGGCATATGCATGTTAGATAGCAGTGGAGACCAATGGTTTATGGGACCTGATGAGCTATTGGAGTGTGAGCAAGGTAATATTTTGTGAGGGGATTCAGGGAAAACCACTTAGCCGGACTAGTCCTGGAGGTGGGAAGGAGAAGTTTGGGATGTTTGCTGCTTGGAGAGACATCTGAACTGTTGTATCTGCATGTCTTGGCAAGACAGTGATATTGTAAATAGTGAAAGTGTTTCTTTTTCAGGTCACCCTACCTCGGTGAGAGATGGCCAGCATTAACAAAAAAATGTACATTATACATCATATATACACTCAGTGGCCACTTTGTTGATACACTTGTACACCTGCTCATTAATGCAAATATCTAATCAGCCAAACATGTGGCAGCACCTCAATATCTCATAGCATGCAGACATCACCAAGAAGTTCAGCTGTTGTTCACACCAAACATCAGAATGGGAAGAAATGTTATCTAGGTAACTCTGTCTATAATAATAAAGAATTTACTGAACTTAAATGTAAAAATTAAATTTAACCATTTGTCACTAAATTTTTATACACAATCTATAGTATTAGATATGACAATGGGAGAACCAGCTTACTGCATTGTGAACAAAAAGATCCATCCTTGAGGAAGGATACAGCAAGTTGTCGATCTTATCTAAGAACTCCTCCAGGAAGGGTGTGGCTTTCTCTACAAAGACACCCATTGTCAACCTTGGCAGCTCCTCCTCCTTCTTCTCATCCAGACTAATCATTTCATCCCAGCATGATCTGCTTAGAAAGAAATTAAAGCAGGGAATTAAATCTTGCATATAACAGAATAAAAAGTACATTCTTTTGAGCAGTGCTAAATACTAATTGTCTTAAATCAAGCTAAATGTAAAAACTTTAGGTAAATTTAACAGTTGGGCAGATAATACTGCACAGAACTTTACAATTATCCTCTCTAAAAGCATACAAAATATTAAATAATTTACAACAAAGGATTTGTGTAATATTAGATTGGATGTACCTAAATGACATACACAGTACATATAATTTTCGCTATTCTAGTAATGTCATGAAAATTTTAAAATTTAACTACAGATTCTTATGGCATTTTGGAAGTTTCAAGAGATGGACTGCTCAAAGATGTACATCTTAAACCTTTCAAGGACATGTCCTGACACTGGTGAAAGGCTCTTAATCTAAAGAATTGGAGATGCCTTTCCCCTACTTGGATCAAACCTGATTATCTCCCATTTTCAAGGCACTCTGTGGCCATCATGGGTTTAAACACTTCCCCTTGAATATATGTATAAGAATAATGTATCTTAATCATAGCAGCTGTGCTTGCTCTGGTATCATTACCTGCATCCATCCTCTGGGTTCCAAGACCGTGCAAGGTAAGACCCCAGTGTGTTAAGAACAAGGTCAGTGTGGCCATTACCTCTCACCACCACAGGCACAGTGTTGTACAAAGTGTTTTGCAAGTAAGCCTCCTTGCCGGCAAACCGTAGTTCAACATCACCTGCAAGACAGAAAGAGCTCAATATACTATGAGGTCATTGTGTACTAAGAGTTGCCCATGGGATGAGAGCAAACTCCTTTTACTTGCAAACTATTAGTGATATGCCTTACCCAGAGTGGTAAAGGGGAACTGGAAAAAAATTACTGACCTTTAGTTTTATACTGCAATAGATGCCCTTTGTTTAGCACAGTCAGCTCCATTTCCTACTTTAATATTTTTCATCACTGTATTTAACTTTATAAAGAGCTAGATGATATAGTTGAACCCTTGTTCCTAATCTTCAACTGTAAGCCCTAAACTCAGCTCAGTAACGAAACTTAATTTTCTAAAATATTCAGCATGTTATTATTATCTTCTTTGAGTTGTAAGCCACCATCAGTCTTATGACACTAGAAGAAAGTTCAGTAACAGCAAGAGCAAAGGAAATTAAATCAATAAAGAGGAAGCTAATGAAAGCAAATAAGAAAGAGGAGGAGGAGGAAGCAGAGGTAGAGGATGCAGTGATTTTATTCAAGATTTAGAAAGTAATTTATGAGCTAAAAATAAAAGAATGAATGTGCTTCACATACCGGTGGCACCATTAAGATTCTGGAAGAGTGTGGAGAGGTGGTCTAGCTTGAGGTTGTACTTGTCCCTGGTAGTATCTTTCACATACATGTGGGTTATCAAGAGCTGTAATGATGTCTCCTCTGGAGCCTCCGACAGCATCCTGTGGATGGTTCCAGCACGGCCCACAAAACCTATCAACACAACTCCTAAATTAGCATCATATCATCAAGCCTGACATAATGCCTTTGCCAACACAGCTGCCTCCAGAACTCGCAAAATAAGTCTCATCATGTAGTCTTAACTTGGACTTCTCCAAAATGCTCTGCATAACTGTGGGCATCTGTGCACAACTAAATGTCACCCATCACTGTACAAACATTGTATCATGCTGAAATAAAAATTATTATTATTATTATTATTATTATTATAATAAATACATATACATACTGCATTTCTGTTTAAATCCAAACTTGTAACATTGAAAACTAAACCTTGTTTATAAATAACATTTCATGAACACACACTCTTGGGGTATTAACATTCACCATCTGAGACGACAGCAGCTGCTAGAGCCAGAAAGATTAACCCTTTGACTGTTTCGGTGGTATACAGCAACCACCCAGGGAAGTACTACCGTCCTGCCAGATGACTGTGAAACAAAAACCTGTAACTGTTTTGCATGATGGTAGGATTGCTGGTTTTCTTTTTCTGTCTCATAAACACGCTAAGATAACAGGGATATCTTGCTACTCCTACTTACACTTTGGTCACACTTCACAGACACGCACATGCATATATATATATACATACATCTAGGTTTTTCTCCTTTTTCTAAATAGCTCTTGTTTCTTTTTTTATTTCTTCTATTGCCATGGGGAAGTGGAAAGAATCTTTCCTCCGTAAGCCACGCGTGTCGTATGAGGCGACTAAAAGCCGGGAGCAATGGCTAGTAACCCCTTCTCCTGTATACAATTACTAAAAAAGAGAAGAAAAAAATTTTATAAAACTGGTTGCTTAAATTGCGTGGATGTAGTGCGGATGACAAGAAACAGATGATTGCTGATGTTATGAATGAAAAGAAGTTGGATGTCCTGGCCCTAAGCGAACAAAGCTGAAGGGGTAGGAGAGTTTTTCAGTGGGGGGAAATAAATGGGATTAAATCTGGAGTATCTGAGGAGTTAGAGCAAAGGAAGGGGTAGCAGTAATGTTAAATGATCAGTTATGGAAGGAGAAAAGAGAAATATGAATGTGTAAATTCAAGAATATGTGGAATTAAAGTAAAGTTGGATGCGAGAAGTGGGTCATAATACGTGTATGCACCTGGAGAAGAGAGAATGCAGAGGAGAGAGAGATTTTGGGAGATGTTAAGTGAATGTATAGGAGCCTTTTGAACCAAGTGAGAGAGTAATTGTGGTAGGGGACTTGAATGCTAAAGTAGGAGAAACTTTTAGAGGGTGTGGTAGGTAAGTTTGGGGTGCCAGGTGTAAATGATAATGGGAGCCCTTTGATTGAACTTTGTATAGAAAGGGGTTTAGTTATAGGTAATACATATTTTAAGAAAAAGAGGAATAATCAAATAAGGGGGAAAAGGGGGGGAACAAAAAAATACTTTTTATTAAAAAATTTTTCCCCCTAACCAAAAAAAAGCTGGGGGGTAAGGCATAAAAAAAACCCCCCCTTTTTTTAAAAAAGGAATAAAATTTTTTAAATGATAAATTTAAAGAAAAAAAGAAGTGAAACAAAAAATTTTTAATTTGGGGCAGAAGTTTAAAAACTTATCCCCCCCCCCCCCCTTTTTTAAAATAATTATAACTTTCCCCAATGGGGAAAGGGGTGGGGGTTAATGCAAAAGGGAAAAACTTTAAATTTAAAATTTCCATTAAATATTGGGACCCTTTTTTTTTGAACTTTGTATAGGGGGAATTTCATTTTTTTAAAAAAAAAGGGAAAAATCAAAAAGTTTGGGGAAAATTAGTTTTTTTGGGAAATTTTTTTTGAAAAAAATTTGTTAATTAGGATGTACATGTTTAGGGGGCCACAGAAATCAGATCACTTTTTTTAGTTGGCTACACTGAGAGTAAAAGGGAGATGGGGTACAAAGGGGAAAAAGAAGCACAGGGAAAAAGGGGAAAGGTAAGGGTTTTTAAAAATAAAAGAGGGGGCATTAGGGTAAAATTTAAAAAGCTAAGGAGGATGATGGGCTAAGAGAGCAAGGCAAGGGGTCGAAGAGGATGGGTAGGTTTTTAAAAAAAAAGTGTTAGAGTGCAGCAGAAATTTGTGGTTACAGGAAAGTGGGGCGGAGGGAAGAGGACGTTGGTGGGAAAGATGATGTAAAGAGAGTATGGAGAAAAAGTTAGCATATGAGAAGTTTTTTACAAATAAAGTGATGCAAGGAGGGGAAAGTATTGGAAAAAAAAGAGAAAGTTAAGAGAGGGGAAGCAAGTAAAAAGAGAGCAAATGAGAAGGGGTGAGATGTTTTCAACAAATTTTGTTGAAAAAAAAAAAAGTTTTGGATGAGTTAAAAAGTTAAGAAAGCCTAGAGAACAAATGGATTTTTCAGTTAAAAATAGGAGAGGAGGTTATTAAATGGAGAGTTGAGGTATTGGGGGATGGAGGGGAAATTTGAGGAATTGTTAAATGTGATGAAAATAGGGAAGCTTTGATTTCAGTATAGGGCAAGGGGGAAAACATCTTGTAGGGGGAGGAAGAGCCAGTTGTGATGGGGGGGAAGTTGTGGGCAGTAGTAAAATGAAAGGGGGTAAGGCAGCCCGGGTTGATGGGGAAAAAATAGAAATGTTAAAAAGCAGGTGGGGATATAGTTTTTTGGGGGTTGGGGCAATTATTTAATAAATGTATGGAAGAGGGTAATACCTGGGATTTGGCAGAGAGCATGCATAGTTCCTTTTTATAAAGGGGAAAGGGGGCAAAAAAGAGTGCAAAAAAATTATAGGGGATAAGTCTGTTGAGTGTACTGTAAAATGTATGGGGAGTTTAATTTAAAGAATTAAGAGTAAGACGGAGAATTGGGTAGAGATGAACAAGGGGGCTTTTTTTGGAAAAGGGAGGGGGTGGTGGACCAGGTGTTTTAGTGAAACATATAAGTGAAATATTTGATAAGGGTAAAAAGGGGCTTGTGCATTTAGGATTTTGGAAAAGGGTATGAAGGGTGGGTAGGGGGGGAATGTGGCAGAGTTGAAGTTTGGTTAGGAGGTAGGTTACTAAAGCAGTGAGAGTTTTCGAGGATGTGAGGGTCAAGTTAGGTAGTAGGAAAAAGGGAAATTTTTTCCCGTAAAAGTAGGCCTTAGACAAGGATGTGTGATGCCCATGGTTTTTAATATATTTAAGTGGGGTTGTAAGGAAGTAAATGCGGGGTTTGGCAAAGGGGGAGTTTTAAAAAAAATAAAGAACACACACAAAGGGGAGTTGTCACAGCTGCTCTTTGTGATGACACTTGCCTTGGGAGATTTGAAAAGAAATTGCAGAGATTGGTGGATAATTTGGTAGGGTGTGCAAAAGAAGAAAAATTTTAAAGTGGGAAAACAGGAAAAAAGTAAGGTTATAGGATAACAAAAAGATTGGGGATGAAAATTGAAAATCAGATTGGAGGAGAGGTAGGAGGAGGTGAACGTTTCAGATATTTGGGAGTGGGCGTTGTCAGGGAAGGGTTATAAAGAGGAGGTGGAAAATAGAAATGATGAGGAAAAAAAAAGTGATGGTGCACTTAGGAGTCTGTGGAGACAAAGAACTTTTCCTTGGAGGCAAAGAGGGAAAGTTGAGGTATAGTTTTACAACGCTCTTATAGGGGTGAAGCGTGGGTGTGAATGTTCAGCGAGGAAAGGTGGAGGCAGTGGAGATGTCGTGTCTGAGGGCAATGTGTGGTGTGAATATAATGCAGAGAATTCGTAGTTTGGAAGTTAGGAGGAGGTGCGGGATTACCAAACTGTGTTGTCCAGAGGGCTGAGGAAGGGTTGTTGAGGTGGTTTGGACATGTAGAGAGAATGGAGCGAAACAGAATGACTTCAAGAGTGTATCAGTCTGTAGTGGAAGGAAGGCGGGGTAGGGGTCGGCCTAGGAAGGGTTGGAGGGAGGGGTAAAGGAGGTTTTGTGTGCGAGGGGCTTCGACTTCCAGCAGGCATGCGTGAGCGTGTTTGATAGGAGTGAATGGAGACAAATGGTTTTTAATACTTGACGTGCTGTTGGAGTGTGAGCAAAGTAACATTTATGAAGGGATTCAGGGAAACCGGCAGGCCGGACTTGAGTCCTGGAGATGGGAAGTACAGTGCCTGCACTCTGAAGGAGGGGTGTTAATGTTGCAGTTTAAAAACTGTAGTGTAAAGCACCCTTCTGGCAAGACAGTGATGGAGTGAATGATGGTGAAAGTTTTTCTTTTTCGGGCCACCCTGCCTTGGTGGGAATCGGCCAGTGTGATAATAATAAATAACAAAATAACATACATCTTATGCGCAACTGTTTCTGACGTATTTATACGCGTAAATTCTAGCAGCTTCAAATCAAGCGGGAGAAAGCTGGTAGGCCCACATGTGAGAGAATGGGTCTGTGTGGTCAGTGTGCACCATATAAAAAAAATCTTGCAGCATGCAGTGCGTAATGAGAAAAAAAAAAACTTACTTTTTTTGGATTAAAACGCCGACTTTGAGGTGCATTTTCGTGTAGTATTTATCGTTGTATTCTCGTTTTCATGGTCTCAGCTGATAAAATGGAAAACATATTACAGAAATAGAGATGATCTTGATTACTTTCACGATGAAAACGACCTTGAAATTGAGCTCAAAGTAGTGGAAATGTTCGATTTTTACCAATGTTCAGGAGTAAGCAGATCACACTACACGTCCAATACACTTACTTCAACTGGCGAGACTAATATTCTTTCACTAGTGCACTGATATTATTTATACCATTTTTACAATAATGCAGTAGTCTGCATAACAGTAAATTTTGTATTTTTTTGTATGAATAAAAAATCAAAATAGAAAGCAATAGTAATATAAGAGGGGCCTAGAAACATGACTAATAAACAGAGGATATGTTATTTTAGTGCCAAGAATGTCTACATTGTTTATTTTGGACCCTATTTTGAAATTGGCATCTTTTTTTATTTGAGTGAAATTGGCCAAATTGCCAATTTCTGACCACTTTATCGGGTAGTTCAAATCAGTAAATGGGCGGTTTCTTGTACTCAACTGATAGAAAAAATGGAGTTCTAAAGAAACAGCTATGAGATTGGTCAACTGGAACAACGGAATTGGCCAAAAACAGGGCTCAAAGTCGGCGAAGTCGGCGAAATCGCCGATGCGTATACATCGCCGAGACCGCTAACTTCGCGGGAGTGTAATTCTGTGAGTTTTCGCCCAAATTTCGTACTTTTGGTGTCATTACCATCGGGAAAAGATTCTCTATCATTTCATAAGAAAAAAAAAAATTTCCAAAAATTTATCGACACAGAACGAGTTTCAGAAAGGGGCCTGCGACAGTCAAAGGGTTAAGAGATATTAAAGGTAGAGATAACACCAAGCCTATCACTAGAAGCATACACAGAGGAAATCATAATAATAATGTATATAGGGTTGGAAAATCTAAGAGAAGCCTTCAAGAATGCAACAAGGAATTTTTCAGTATACAGGTTTCTTTGCTTTATGTGATAGATGCATATCAGGCCCACAGTATATTAAGTAAAAAATCACAAAATGAAAACAATTTACATGTAAAATGGTGATATATGTTCCGAGACTGTAAATTACACATTTTTGGCATATGTTTACCAAAAAATATGAATTTGGTTAAAAACTAAATTTAAATAAATTAGTTTTTACACAATTAGTGAAAATTAGGGGAAAAATCTATATTTCTAAACTTATTTTTACCAAAAAAATTATGAGCATACTCCTTATATATTAAATGGCCATAAATATAATTTATCAAAACAAAATTAAATTCAAAATTCAGTCATAATCTTCCTTTCCTTTTACCTTCCATCCTCCATCAATCAACCAGCCTGTGGAAGCATGCAATTTATAAACTTACATGTGAATACATCTCTGTCCTTTTCCTTCACTGTTTGTGCTCTACTACAATGCCGACACAAATTCCAAAACAGGAAGAAGTGGCAACAATTGTGGTGACACTGTTTAAAGACATAACTGTCAATTTAAACCCAAAATTGGCTAACTTAAGGTAGATTTGTGCTGACCACATATCAAATAAAATGACACTCTTCAGTATGTGACTAACATCAATGATGCTGCAGCAGGCAAGTGACCTTATTAGTAAAATATTACTAAAATAACATTCAAACAAATAAAAAAAACATGTGTTTATGAATAATTAGCACCAGGCCAAATGTCCATACATCAAAACTATTAGTTATTGCTCTAACAGTGTTAATATTGCCAGCTGTAAAAAAGACATACCAAATAAAACTGTGTGGGACATTGGAAATCTAGTGAACATACTGTATTCACTCTCTATCTTCTAGAGACTATTGTGAGAGAAGCATGAATATGGTGAATTAGTGGAGATGAAATTTGTACAGTACATCGCAGTATTTTCTCTTTTTGCTGGAGTGCTTAGGATTTCTTTTTTCAACAAGTTGGCTGTCTCCCACCAATGCAGGGTGACCCAAAAAGAAAGAAAATCCCCAAAAAGAAAATACTTTCATCATCATTCAACATTTTCACCTCGCTCACACATAATCACTGTCTTTGCAGAGGTGCCCAGATACAACAGTTTAGAAGCATATATAAAGATGTATAACATATCCCTCCAAACTGCCAATATCCCAAACTCCTCCTTTAAAGTGAAGGCATTGTACTTCCCATTTCCAGGACTCAAGTCCAGCTATATAAAACTTACCGGTTTCCCTGAATCCCTTCACTAAATATTACTCTGCTCACACTCCAACAGCTCGTCAGGTCCCAAAACCCATTCGTCTCCATTCACTCCTATCTATCACGCTCACGCACGCTTGCTGGAAGTCCAAGCCACTTGCCCACAAAACCTCCTTTACCCCCTCCCTCCAACCTTTTCAAGGACGACTCCTACCCCGCCTTCCTTCCTCTACAGATTTATAGGCTCTCCATGTCAGTCTATTTTGATCCATTCTCTCTAAATGACCAAACCTCCTCAACAACCCCTCTTCAGCCCTCTTATTAACTCCACACCTTCTAATTTCCACACTCTGAATTCTCTGCATAATATTTACACCACACATTGCCCTTAGACAGGACATCTCCACTTAGGAAATATAATTAGAAAAATTTAAATAGGCTTGAACTGCAAATGATATGTAATGATTTCACAAATAAATTTGAGTTCTGTAATATAAGTTGTGGGACTTTACCAGAAAATGTACCCTAGTAGTACTAAGGTAAGAACTGTGGTACAGCACTGTCATAAAAATTGACAGTGTAGTAAAACTTTTAAAGTGTAGCGCTAGGGTAGAAACTGTGATGAATGCTATTGCAGTAATAAACAAGTTGGTAAATACTGACCTCCTGAATTGAGGAACCTCTTGCCTCGCTCCACCCTTGGAAAACTGCTTTCCAAGGTTTGGTCAGGCCAGCAGAAACCATCAGCAGAAACCAAGATGTCGGCAGCAGAACTCTCAAATTCTTCGATGACCCGAACTGGTGGAGCTGAGAACACAACGTCCCCACTGTGAAGGGAAAAAGATTGGGGAGCATGGAAAATTATTATTAAATTTGTATAAAAAAGTGCCAGAAAGGAAAAAAAGTGGATAAGAGGAAAGAGAAGATAGGAGGAAGAAAATAAAGAACGAAGGGGAAGAAGTTTGTGACTGAAAAAAAAACCAGTATTATAGAATGTTCTAAAAAGCAATAACAGATACTCACCATGAATTTTCCAGTAAAAAAAAGAAAGCCTACCTAAATAATTTATTAGAATTCATTAATTTCATAAAATAACATTCACAGTACTGTGCTGTAAAACCAAATTTTCAGAAAACTTTTAACAAACTACCACATAATTTTTTTTTAATAAAGTTACAAAGTACAAGACTGACTTACCAAAAGAAAAAAGACAGAAGAGCAAAATTTTAAAGCAAGAGAACAATAACACATAAAACATGCTCTGGGCATGATAGTGGCTTTCTTTGTACTTAGAAAATCAAAATTGTAATTTTTTTTTTTTTCAACAAGTCGGCAGTCTCCCACCGAGGCAGGGTGACCCAAAAAAGAAAGAAAATTCCCAAAAAGAAAATACTTTCATCATCATTCAACACTTTCACCGCACTCACACATTATCACTGTTTTTGCAGAGGTGCTCAGAATACAACAGTTTAGAAGCATATACATATAAAGATACACAACATATCCCTCCAAACTGCCAATATCCCAAACCCCTCCTTTAAAGTGCAGGCATTGTACTTCCCATTTCCAGGACTCAAGTCCGACTATACGAAAATAACCGGTTTCCCGAATCCCTTCATAAATATTACCCTGCTCACACTCCAACAGATCGTCAGGTCCCAAGTACCTTCGTCTCCATTCACTCCTATCTAACACGCTCACGCACGCTTGCTGGAAAGTCCAACCCCCTTGCCCACAAAACCTCCTTTACCCCCTCTCTCCAACCCTTTCGAGGACGGCCCCTACCCCGCCTTCCTTCCCCTATAGATTTATATGCTTTCCATGTCATTCTACTTTGATCCATTCTCTCTAAATGACCAAACCACCTCAACAACCCCTCTTCTGCCCTCTGACTAATACTTTTATTAACTCCACACCTTTTCCTAATTTCCACACTCCGAATTTTCTGCATAATATTTACACCGCACATTGCCCTTAAACAGGGCAAAGAAATAAAATCCTTATTCCTTAAGACATAAGTTGGGTATGTCAAAGAATGTTCCTTTTCCTAATCCTCTTCATAATCTCATAACGTTAAAACGCTTGAAATTTTGGAAAGTTTCCAGACATAATGGAGAGACGCAGAGCTCATGGAGAATGTAAACAAACCGGGTGGGGAGTGGTGACCGTATTAGAAAGTCAGGTCGGGGGAGCCGTATAGCGAGTTTTGGTCATAATTTGAAATGTCCATATCAGCGCAACGCCGTAAAGCCAGGCCCTACTATATATAGACTATACAGGATATATCTATACTGTAATGCAAACAATTGAAGAAATAGGACTAGTAAAAACAGGAAACTTGTGATATAAAATTAGGAGACAACAGTGCACCTAAGTACAGTACTATACAGTACTGCTAGATAAACTGTCACTTGTGCAATTAATACATTTACAGTGATTATACTTCCTTCACCAGAACTTTGCTAAGTCAATGCAAACAATATAATCCATGGAAACAGGATATGTAAAGGGAACCCAAAAAGCTGAGCACTGGTGAAAGTGGTGGTACTAATAGTAGTGGTAGTAGTAGTAATAGTAGTGGCAGTAGTAGTAATAGTAGTGGCAGTAGTAGTAATAGTAGTGGCAGTAGTAGTAATAGTAATGGTAGAAGTAGTATACTAGTAATAGTAGTAGTAAGAGTAGTGGTAGAAGTAGTACTAGTAATAGTAGTAGTAATAGCAGTGGTAGTAGTAATAGTAGTAATAGCAGTGGTAGTAGTAATAGTAATAGCAGTGGTAGTAGTAGTAGTAGTAGTAATAGCAGTGGTAGTAGTAGTTGTAGTAATAGTGGTAATAGTAGTAGTAGTAGTAATAGCAGTGGTAGTAGTAGTAGTAATAGCAGTGGTAGTAGTAGTAGTAATAGCAGTGGTGGTAGTAGTAGTAATAGCAGTTGTAGTAGTAGTAGTAATAGCAGTTGTAGTAGTAGTAGCAATAGCAATGGTAGTAGTAATAGTAGTAGTAATAGTAGTGGTAGTAGTAATAGTAGTGGTAGTAGTAATAGTAGTGGTAGTAGTAACAGTAGTGGTAGTATTAACAGTAGTGGTAGTAGTAACAGTAGTGGTAGTAGTAGTAATAGTGGTAGTAGTAGTAATAGTGGCGGTAGTAGTAATAGTGGCAGTAGTAGTAATAGTGGCAGTAGTAGTAGTAATGGTAGTAGTAGCAGCAGTATTGCAAGCAGGAGGACACATCACATCAGTCAACAAGAGAACATTAGTTAAATGAGTTCAAGCCCCACCAGCAGTGTGGTTTGTTTGCAATAATGTCGTTACAGTTTCCTAATGATGACTTTCAATGGTAGAAATCAAAAGGTCTTCCATTATCAGTTTATACTTTTTTTTCAAGTGGAAAGCTAAACCCACAGGGGTCATACAGCACCTGAGGAATGAGAGCCAATTGGGTACTGGTTATATAAGGATGACATAATAATGACCTGGCCTGGGTTAACCTTAGATTATCCCAACACATAATGTCAGCCACCACCAAGAGTTTTTTTTTTTTTTGGGGGGGGGGTGTTACTGGTCATTTCCATGTGCAGTATTTCTAGTATGGGGGTGCATAATACATTAAATTAACTGAAAGAATAGTATTTCTAACCTTTCTGTGAAGAGGACAATTTTCTCCTTGTCTTGACTGAGAGCTTTGAACTCCTTCTTGAGCAGTTCAAGGTGTTTCTTCTCGTCCAACTCTTCCTTCTCACCTACATCCAAGACCTGTCAGTAAAGTTAGGTTAGGTAGGCTTGTCAGGAAACAGGACAAGTGATTCCTGACTCGAGTCTTAGTCATATGATGACCCACAGCTGGAGCTTTTGGTCATCTGATTGAGTCCTTCTGCTGGCTTACCCTTCCAGCCCTTGAAAAATTATGCTTATAATTATAACCATTAGATCTCAACTACTACATTCATATTGTTGTCAATGAAGTATGTTTGCCAGCTTTATTATGGCCCCCATACCCATTCTATGGGCAGTAGTTTAATATATTATTGACACACACACAGTCTAAGACTGGGCCTCAACATTCTGTTAGTTAAGTTTAAGCACATGTATACATAAATACAATTATTATTCATAGTGTAAATTACCTAGGATCACCCAAAAAAATCGAAGTGACTCATTTCCACTGGGGTCCTTACTTATATTCTGATAGTTAAACAAGTTACAGCAGTGATGAACTCAGTGAAGATCAAACATAAAATAAAAGTTAACATACACAAACATTCAAGCAATATTTTTCTTGCTTGTATGTAGATGTAAAAATAACCTACAGGCAATGAATGAAAACTCAAAAGCTGAGAATGACAAAGCAGGCAGAGAGAAGCTGCTCCACTAGTACAGTAAAGCATAATATTCATCCCTACATAAGCTGCCAAGTTGCTCGAGTTTGATGGTTGTTATGAATAACAGGTTAAATTGGCTTTTAACACTGCTTTTAAAACAAAACAGTAAGCCTCATCATGGTATTAAGAACAATTATACTGACCTAGTTTGATCAGACTTCACCTTGAAGATCAAACAATACGGATAGCATATTCACCAGATAGTGACATTATCTACACTCAGTTTCACTTTATTCATATTTTAGGGATTATTGTATTTTATTGTATTTTGGCCTGACCTGTTATAATAATACTTCATCTTTCCCATCCTCCTCCCCCACAAAAGAATATACAAGTGTTAATAAATATAGTAAAGGTCAAACAGGCACAGAAATATAGTGAGACGAAGAACCTGAGGCAGACAGGAAAACTTTACCTTAACTTTGTAGCCAAAGATGCTGGTTGACCTGAGGAACCTCTTGTAGCTGTCTCCTGCCTTCCGTCGCATGGTCAGCACCAGCAGACCTGTGAACCAGGTCAAGAAAGGTTAAGAAAAGTCACAAGTGTCAGGAGACACACCATCAACCTGAGAGTCTGGACTGAGTCTTCAAGATTCAATTATTTCCTCTTCATTTCATTTCATATTTATTTGATCATTTACTACAAACTTAAGACTGTCTCAATTTCATTATTGTATATTGTGCTGATGATTGCTCAAGTATTTACTCATTACTTCAAACTTGTAATACTGTATTTTTTATATACTATATCAAAATTGTAATTATTCTCTACTGAACTTACTAAAGCCATATAGAGTGAACTAGTTGAATATTCAGTTTTCTTCTACTCACTGTAACTCACCTAATGACCATATATAAAATTACAACACTGTTATTGCCTTATTAATCTTAAGTTAGTCTTAAGTTTGCCCAAAATGCTCGGCATATAAAGGGGCTTTTGGCATGTTCACCAAATTGTTACATTCCTTTGTACAAACATGTATCATGCTAAAATAAACTTGTTATTGTTATATAGGAACAATATATGAAAAGATTAGTGAGGAAAGATTATACATATTTTCAAGACATGGGACAGACCAGACAACACTATTTTTTTTAACACAGCCAATACATCAATTTTATTATTATTAGAATGCCCCCACATTCTGGGGCATTCTAATAATAAAAAATTGTACCTGTCTTTCAGATTTTTTTACTGTTACATTCATGGGAAAGCGCTAAACCTGTAGTCATACAGCACCTTGTGAGAATGGAAGACATTCAGACTTGTTTCAGTGAATTGGAGCATAGATCCAATTCCTTAGATCAAGAGCACCTCACCAGTATCAAGTAACCTCCCCTGAGGGGACTACTTTTCGTGTAAAAAAAATTAAGTGTACTCGTATGACACTGGAACTGGAATCCAGATCAAAATTATTGTGACACAACATGCAAAACTTTCAAGTAATATGTCTATGTTTCCCACATTTAGGTCTCATGTAAATAAATAGGTAAATAACAAGTATTCCTTGTTCTAGATCCCTCATATGATACAGCTATGATCCTCTAAAGTCCTACTGACTAGACTACTTCTAGGATATTATTTTCGACATGGAAATGCTAACATCTTCGTAAGAGCTCACTGAGATCACCAGATCTATGGCAGTTGGATCCCTGTGACATAGAAAAATCCCCCCCCCCCCTTCGAATTCGTGGAGAATGGCCACTGGATTGCACCAAAGTCTGCCTGAAATATACCTGGGGGGGTGTTCCGGGGGTCAACGCCCCCCGCAGACGGGTACATGACCAGGCCTCGTGGTGGATCAGCTACCAATGGGTTTTCAATGATGCCAATAGACCAGACCCACGAGGAAAACAATGACATGGTCAAGGGTTCAGAGGTGCTATGGAAATAACAAAAAAAGGCACAGTACCCAGAGAATTCATCTGCCTTCAGGAAATGGATGGTAGACGGCCCTGGACAAGTTCGACTTCAGAATGAGTTTGGGAGGGAATATTCTATTGAAGATGACGAATTTCATCAGTATCACAAAGAATGCATATCTACCCAGGTAACCTGAAAACAGAAGGCTCCGAGTCTAGTTCAGCCCATTGGTAACCTCGGCAATCTCTGTTTCTATAACAGTGAGGAATTACTGACCTAAGACATGCGTAATGTCCTGGATGTCTCTGTGGTCAGTATAGTCAGCATAGCAGACACACTAGGGACGGATCAGAACAACTACAGCACGTCAGTTCTGGTAGAATACATCTCTACATGAGACACCCCTCAAGGGAGGTTCCTTGATGCTGGTGAGGGGCTCTTGATCTAGGGAATTGGATCTGTACTCCGGTTCCCTGAAGTGAGCCTGAATACCTTCCATCCCCCCCACGTGCTGTATAATCCTACGGGTTTAGCGCTCCCCATAATTATAACAATAATCTACATGAGACAAAGGGAAACTCCCTGCGACTGTTTAGATCTAAGATCTCATTGTGAATATTTCAAGATTGAGCACTGCGATGCAACACTGGGAAATAGACAGAAGCATCTTTTTCAAACATGAAAATTATGTATATCATCCTTTCCTGTCCAACAGGAGAAACTACAGGTGGAAAAGAAGTTTGATCTGCTGGCGTGGCTGGAGATGCATACCATAATCATGCTGCCAGATCACAAAAATTCATGTGACATCACGATTCTAGATGGCGCACTTGGTGTGCACCTTCTTTCACTTAGCAGCGTCACTGACCTTAATCAATATGCAGATTAGGTCTTCCTTCTTCACATGATGGGACAACTGGAGAGCACTACCATGGTAGATATGGTGTAAGACTTATATTACCAGTAGTATTAAGGAATCAACAAGAAGAGCAAAGGCACCTGTATTCCGGATGGCAGTTAGCCAGACCAAAATCCCCTGGAACTGACAGGACTTCTTGTAGGAACCAAATGACATGCAGCACAACTTTTCTTCCTCTTCAGCAAGATTGCAAGCATGGACTTCTTGTCTGAAAAGGTGGCTGTAACCATCTTTGGACAGGAAACTGTCTCCAGAGGAAGAAGTTAGAGAACGCTCTCCAAGCAACTAGGAGGAAGGGTATACTAGATTGTACATTCTTTTTGGACTGTAAGAAGGCTTCTGTCACAATACTGCAGAAGAGACAAGGACAAAAGCTAGAGGAACAGACAGGAATAACAGGAAAAGCACTACATTAGATCAAAGAAAACCTAACAGGAAGGAAAAAACGAGTGATTGTTCGGGAAGAAGTGTCGGAATGGACGCAAGTGACGAGTAGGGTTCCACAGGAGTCAGTGCTGGGAATGCCATTATTTCTTGCGTACGCAAATGACATGATGGAAAAAAATAGTCAAAGGTATCCCTGTTCATAGACAAGGTGAAACTAATGAAGAAAATACAAACAGGTGAAGACCAGGAAAGGCTACAAAAAGACCTGGACAGGCTACAGATCTGGTTTGACATGTGGCTATTAGAATTTAACCAAGGAAATGCAAAGTTATGATGATCAAAGAAGGCCGCAGAATACAAGCTCAAAGGACAAAGATTAAACCTCACGCAAAGGCTTCAGGGTGAGCACTGTACCGAGCATGTGACCCCTGAGGCTCAAATAAACCAAATAACTCCCGCAGTAAATGTGCCTTAGGCAAATTCATGATCAGCTTTCTGGGCTGGATGGTCACATATGCTCTGTGCTTCCTGGCCCTGAATCCTACTGTGGTCAAGTTTGTCCTTGTCCACCCTTCTATGTCGCGGAATATTTTGTATGTTGTGATCAAATAATCTTTTGTTCGTTCCTCGGAGTCCAAAGCATCTAGAAAAATGTACCACTTTATTTAAAGTGCAAACGACGAACAATTTCTGTTAACAACTACTGAAATCCCATAAAATTTCGAGTGTGCGTCAGGCGAATATGACAACGAAATTTATCTTATTCTTCTTGAGCTGCCATATTATCATGCAATGCAGGAATATATTTCACAGTTGCATAGAACTAAAATTACTGTCAATTATAAACACAATATACAAACACAATCCTTTACGTTAAACTCTGAAATCGTGTCTAGTATAATGTGAGAATAAACTGTTTATCTTATCACGTTTATTACCAGCGTTTATATTTGATTAAATGTTAAAATGACAATAATACAAATGTTGTAGATAAATGGTTCAGATAACCGACACGTTGATAAATTAAACACATGCAACATTTAGGTATCTTTACTCAGGAAACGTTTCGCCACACGGTGGCTTCATCAGTCCTATACAAAGGAGAATAGTGAAGAACAGGAGTTTGAGGTGATCAGTCCCTCAGCCTGGAGGGACTGCCTTCAGTAAGTCCTTTGATAGTTCCACACAGTAGACTGCTTAAATAAAATAGCAACATGGTACGTACAGTAGAAATTATCCCCTGGGTCAAGGCATGGCTGACAGTCAGGCAACTTAATAACAAAATGGGAATGGGGATCCATTACGAGTGGCGTACCACTGGGGTCAGTGTTGTGACTCTACGTGAACGACTATAGGAAATATATTTCCATATAAGTAAATTTGCCGCTGACACTAAAACAGGTTGTCAAAAAAACATTCTGACGACACTGGAAAGATACTGGATGACTTGAATAAGATGTTGTGGCCAGAAATGCAGAAGATTCAGTTCAACACAAACAAGTATAAGATTGGTATAAACCTTGGTAACTGATACCAACAAGAGGTTTGACAGGCCTCGTTAGTTTAAACACTAGACTATTAGAAAAACGAGATCTCAGGACCGAAATGTTTTGTAATAGATATGTCATAGAGCTTACTCACCTGTGTCTTTTTAAACCCAGGTGTTAAGTTCTAATCCTAGAAAAAGAAATTAACTATGGACCTTATTAGCTAAATAATGTAGATCTTTGTCGAAGTGAATCAAAAAAAAAAGTTAAACGAGTCCTGGTTAGCAAATATTTAAAGCCTAGACAATAGTGCATAAATGTTCACAGTAAGAGCAACAAATGGTGACTGGGTCAACTTTCACTACACTGGTGACTGGGTCAACAATCACTACACTGGTGACTGGGTCAACAATCACTACACTGGTGACTGGGTCAACAATCACTACACTGGTGACTGGGTCAACAATCACTACACTGGTGACTGGGTCAACATTCACTACACTGGTGACTGGGTCAACAATCACTACACTGGTGACTGGGTCAACATTCACTACACTGGTGACTGGGTCAACAACCACTACACTGGTGACTGGGTCAACAACCACTACACTGGTGACTGGGTCAACAATCACTACACTGGTGACTGGGTAAACAATCACTACACTGGTGACTGGGTCAACAATCACTACACTGGTGACTGGGTCAACATTCACTACACTGGTGACTGGGTCAACAATCACTACACTGGTGACTGGGTCAACAATCACTACACTGGTGGGCTGGGTCAACAATCACTACACTGGTGACTGGGTCAACATTCACTACACTGGTGATGGGTCAACAACCAC